ACCTCATCTGAATTCTACTCACTTAATCAATTCTATTTTATTTTCCATCTTAACGTTTGTTTCCAAGCCAAAAAATTACTTATATTACATAATTATCTAAACTTTATAAATCTAATGTACACACACACAAACAAAATTGTATAAATATGCGATTGTACAGCTAAGTGAATGAATTCGCCGAAAAAAATGATTGTGTCATATCCCACACTATTCACCAATTTTTCGTTGTGTGTGTGTGGGGGGGGCATACATACATACGAGGAGTAATCGTGCTTTGCTTGTGAGGAAGGGACAGCGAGCACATCCCGAAATGGTTAGAAAGACAAATGAATTGGAAAATCAATAGATGCAGGTGTCAGACTACCAACTTTGTCTATAGCTTAACATCTAATCGAGATGAACCATAAAATTAATGTTAACTCAACCTTTCAGGTCATCTGTAAAAACGGTCAAGGGTGCTTATTGAAATACGCTGAGACTGTAGCTGTTCAAAAACTTAAGCCCCCGTTTGCATTCAAAAACCTACCTTGGTAATCCTTATTTGATTGCATTACCAAACGTTGTGTTAATCATTCTTAAATCTTTTTTGTCACTTTGTTTAATTTAATTGCCCTTAATTTTGTCACATACATCTACTTGACAAGTAAATATTCGAAAGGTAAAGCGCAAATACATCACATGGCACATTTTCAGACAATCTCCATCTTCTAATAACGCTATCTAAAGAATATGATTAAAGAATATATATATATGCGTTGGTGGCACAGTGGTTAGGTCGCTCACCAACCACGCACATGGTCCGGGGTTCGATTCCCGGTCACAGACGCACTCCTTTACATCACTAAGTCAGGTATAATGTTGCTAAAGAGGAAAGGTGAGGCATGAGGCTAGCAACCCCATTCTGTAAAAATAATCACCACTGCTACAGAAACTTCAAGCCTGTAGCTTGAAGCCCTATGTTCCACTGGGAACGTGAAGGAATTAGCAATAATATATATATATATCTGTTTGATCACTTGAAAACATATATTGGCTTCGGTGTCCTCCCTTCTGCTGTTACCTTATGAGTGGTCAGTCATTCCTATTGTACGTGTTGGGTGAAGATTATTCGATGAACAAAGATTCAATAATCAACCTCTCTCTCTACACCTACCTATGTTACTTTTTAAAATTTAAACTCTCTCCCACCCTATTGTGTGTGGCTGTGTGTTAAGACATGCAGTGCGATTGCTGAGCTTTCTTCTAAATTACTTATCTTCGCTGGAGGGGTCAACCATTCTAACCTTAGCCACTAAATTCTTATGCTCTGACAATCTGATTACACCCGATATACTAGTTTGACCTGTGTAGTTGATGTCACATAATAATATAGCTGAGGTTAGAATGACTGACCCCACTCGCGAAGATAAGGAATTTAGAATAAAGCTTAGCACTACATTTTACTGCATGCATTAATAACGCACAACCACACAATAATGTGATGGGAGAGGGTTAAAATTATAAAAGTAGTATAGGTAAATTGAGAGAGAGAGGTTGATTACTGAATCTTTGATCTAGAATGTACAACCAACATATGCAATAGGATGCAATGACTCATCAGTCATACCGGAAATATAGAAACTCCTTCTGTGGTGAGAGCTGTCTACAAGCCAAAATTGCTAGACAGCAATTTACGTCAATGTTTACGTCCCAAATCTTGGTCATGAGAAAAGAACAAGAACAAAGACTTTGCGTGGGCGGATACGATTCGCATATGTATATGGTATGACCTTCAAATAAATGGCCACAAAGAGAGAACAACCAATCAGAAGATGCGGTTTCTCTGCTAACAATAACCCATAATAGTGTACATAAAAATATATAACTATCTCTTGATTTTCTCAATAAACAATGCGTTTTCTGGCCCTTGTCTTCTGTCGTTACAGTACTACCAAACAAGTCAGGACATGAATTGAAATAGTGATGAAATTATGTAGACGAAGTTAGATAGTTGTGTGAGTGGTGTTTTGATATGATTATAAGTGGCAATAGTTTGTGCTCGAAATGTGTTCATCAGTAAATATTACTGTGAGACTCAATCAAAATAAATCTTATCCATAATGGAAACGTACTCTAGCACAGTGCACAAGTTCTATTTCTATATCAATACTTTCTGTGTGTCACCTTTAATTGTTCATACAGTTTAACTGTATCAGTCGAAGGGAACAATATTTGAATATCACTAGAAAAGATTGTCTTAAATTTCTTCACAGATTCCAAAGCCCCTAAGATGAAATAGAAACATCATTTTAAATAGGGCAGTTCTACAGTGTCTTCCTTATAAAATAAAACACCAAGTGGAAAAGTTACATTTTTAATATTAATAATAATAACATCTTTACTCTTGAAAGTATTTATGAAATGTACAGAATTTTCAGAGGAGCTGATTGTATGATATTACTTCCCTATGTAAGGGAACAAATGCTTTAAACAGTGCCATCGCCAGGCATCTCCTCGACACGGGTCATGAGGTGGACGTCGAAAAGTTGTTCAAAATTATCAATAAGCAAAAGAGCTCAGTTCTCCTTAAGTTTGCTGAAGCCATTTCCATCAAGCGCCTAGAACCTGATTTATGCGTTCAGAAAGAAGCGGTTATCAGTCCTTCTTTGCCCTGGTAACTGGATATTTCTCATCCGAATGTTAGATACTGAAAAGTTTTCATTGTGTATGATTATTATTGCTCGGAATTGTGTTCAATATTGCATATATATATGTATATATTATTAGTGTATGTGTATATTGATCGATTGATTTCTGTTTAAAATGAACTCTGTGCAAGTATGTTAAAATTGTTTCTGCAGATACATTTAATAATGACTTTGACCTGTAAGCAGCTGAAGAGAAGACGACGAAATAAAATATGGTACCAATTTATTCTGCTAAAACTGTAGTTGTTGCTTTGTTCAAATTCATTAAGGGGAATAGATGTATGGTCATGTGCGTCGGTGGCACGGTGGTTAGGACTCTCGCCGACCATACACATGGTCTGGGGTTCGATCCCCTGCCGACGCACACTCGATATCTATGGTCGGCCTGCAAAATTTGGGCTACCGATATTCTTGCTGAAAATGCCATGCTTGTACTGAAAATACAGTGTGGCATCAAGCTGTAATCAAAAAAATAAAATAAATATTTGAATCGATTAAAGCAAACCGAACGAGTGAAAATATATGCAATAGGGAGATGGAAGTTTTTGGTAGCCTAAGATTTAAGCAGGCTGCTTAGATTATTTTGTTAGAGTTATTAGAAGACGGAGACTATCTCCACAGGATCTTTTAACCGACAAAGCTTGTTTCTAATTGAGTTTGTGGGTTTGAATGTCAGCCACTATTATTCCTGCCTGCATTGTTGAGAATTTTCCGTAAGGTATTCGAAGTTCGTTATTTGCGTGGAAGTACTACTGATTATTTAGATTCCTTATTGTTGGTGTTGTGCCCTATTACTTGAACATTTCACCAATCCTACGTTTAGTGACATAGGGTGGGAATAAGGGAAATCAAAATATCTGTTTGAATGTGTGTGTTTCCTGACGACATGCATGTCAAATATGCGCAAGATAATGACAACACCAACAATAGGGGGTATAAATCATCAGTAGTAATTCCATACAAGGAATAAACCTTGGAAACAATGCTGGCAGGAATAAAAGTGGCTGGCATTCAAACCCAAAAACTCAATTAGAAACAAGCTTTGTCTGTTAAAGAATCCTGTGGAGCCTTTATAACGAAACAATTCAGTTTATCTGATACCCTGCTGCAATGATTGTAAGGTCAAATATATAGTTCAAAGTAGTAGAACAGGTGCACTCATTGAGACTAGCGGAGCACAAAATCCTGTCAGCGAAATCTGGATTAGTTGACCCGAATAAGATAAGAAATCTGGTGAATAGTTCATCTACAGCACTCACTACATACATTCATACACAACCATACCAGCAAGATGTATGGGATAAGGTGACAGTTTTAAAATATAATGTAACAGGGTGAATGGAGGGAGAGATTGATAACAACGGAAGCTTTGTTTATCGAATCAACTGCGAATACGTGTAGTAGGAATAATTCAACACCTGTCCAGTCGGATATCTGGAAAATTCTACTACCCCAACGACGACAAATAGGAGAAGACAAAGAATACTATAAAACTCAAGTTTTGAGGTCGTGTGATTATAATTGATATGATTACGAACAATACTGCTGTTTCACTGTGTGACATATCTAATAAACAAACTAATATGGAATTGGCTGCTGTCAACCTAGTTAATCATTTTGCTGTGTTGAATAACGTCACCGTACATTTGATGACACTAATTACTTACTACTTGGAGTCCAATCAAAGCATAAATTGCAGTCAGAAGCCCAAATAGTCTGGTGGTAATTCCTCTGGCTGAACAACTGGATGACTGGAATTTGAATCTCAAGAAGGACGTGAATCCCTTCGAGATTGCAGACACACCTTGCCGACTGATCAGTGTCAATAATCACGAAACCTAGGTGCAGCCAAGGCTTCCTGCCGGTTGCATACAATCATCTAATAGCAATAATTCACAGTACTCCATGATGGCGGGTCACCTAGCATGGTGACCAACTTGCAAACTCGATTGAGACAGAATTCGATCTGCGCCAAACGAAGGACTAAAGTCATGGCATCAGTTACTACCTATTTTTTGCAACCCGACAACTGATATCCTACTGTCGGGTCCATCAACTTGATTCTCACTGAAATGATTAGGTATTATTTCTATATTAGGTTACTTGATCCGTATGACATCGTTTAAAAATTCATATTTTACTATTATCCAATCAAATTCAACTATTGATTGAAACACGTTAAGGTCATTTGAAAACCATATCAACACAAGTAAACTAAGTAATATTTAAACACAAAATTAATATTTTTCTCAAAAAAAAATAATATAAGTAATTCCTTTAAAAAATTATTTTTTTTAAAGTTAACTTTTGTAAATGTATTTTTATAATTTACACGGAAAACGTATTAGTTATGAAGAAGCTGTTAAACTGAGAAAGTTGAAAAACCTTGAACACTATAACCAATCCTTGTCGAGAGCATCCTCATCTAAGTCAAGTGCAGATCAATCTTGTAAATCAATGAATACACGCTTGAATTCACCATGGGAATTAGAATTACAACGATTTTTAATTCAAGGTGGACGTAGAACAACTACACCCTTCCTTTGGCGCAAACCAAAACGCGTTGTACAAAGCGCTGGTTCACGTCTATTACAAGAGTATACGGCGAAAGAAAGACAGGCCGATGAAGACACTGAAGCCAGATATGATCTTGTAGCAGGTAAACGTTTTATTATTAACCGAGAAGGAGATCAAGAAGATTATGGTGATGGTGATGATGACGATGAATCCTTGAACATTGAATTCCACGCAGATCATTCTCACCCATCTCGACGACGTGTAATTAGTACCGATGGGGGTACACTTCGAAGAAGATCCCAGAGAAAGAAAGAAAGTTATTATGAAATTAATAACGGTAGGTAGAACAGTCATTACCAAACTTACCTGTTTTTCAGATCCAATACAGTACACACTCAGCAGTCGTATGAATGACATTCAAATAAGCAAGAAAGATGTGATAGGACAAAGTGATCAAGCAAGGCAGGATGACACTTCTGTACGTTCTGCGCCAACTGTTTCATCACCAACTTCATCTCTATCAAGGCTTTCATCTTGTGATAACCTCAGCCATACTGATGAATATTTAGATGAAACAGATTCATTGGATAAATTGAAACGACATCTAGGGAAGAAAATTCCTGTAAGTTTAAAAAAAAATATGCATCATATTTTATGCGTTGACTTTATGTAAACTGTGGCTGGTGTTCAGTGCTGCTTAGCGTGTGTTTTCCAACTTTTCATAGTAAATACCGATAGGTAGGCATGCTCACTTTTCTTGACTGGCATTCATGGTGTCAAATGGATGATGACGTTGAAAGCCCCGGTTCTCGTCCGATCACCGAAGTTAAGCAACGTTAGGCCCGCTTAGTACTTGCATGGGTGACCGGCCGTGAATATCGAGTATTGCCGGCTTCGTGTGCGTCGGTGGCACAGTGGTTAGGATTCTCGTCGACCATGTATATGGTCCGGGGTTCGATACCCTGCCGACGCACACCCGATATCTATGGTCGGCTTGCAAAATTTGGGCTACCGACATCACATGCTGAAAATTCCATACTTGTACCAAAAATACAGTGTGGAATCAAGCTATAATTTAAAAAATGACATACATATTTTCAGTTTCTCAAGGACACTGTGGTGCGTTTTCACCCTTGAATGTGTCATTCACAAATTGGAAGTGCGTTACAAATTGGGAATGTGCAACCAGTTTACCCGAGTGGCTAACCTAGTGTACCACTGACAAGCTTGTTCACATTTGAGGAAAACGTCGTTCTGATGTTTAGACCACCGATGGAGTTTTGGGTGTATACTGCTGAAAAGTCCTAAATTAGGACGAAAAAACTGTCTAGTCCTCCCTGGTGGTTTTTAGTGGTTCTGAAACTGACATCGGCTTGTGATCTAACTTAAAGCTAAACAATTCCGTCCAAACCAACATTTCACAATTTAGAGAAAAACAAAAAAACTGAGCGAAGAATGTTTTCTATTCCTTTACGTTCATATTGGAAAGGCTTCAAGGTAGGGGCTTGAAGTTTCGGTAGCAGTGGTGTTTTGTTGAGGTTGCTAGCCTCATTCATGCCCAACATTCCCTCTTTACCAATCTTTTTACTGGCTTAGTGAGCTCTAGTTCATCGGTTGGGGATCGAACCTCGGACCACATGCGTGGTTGGCGAGAATTCTACTGCTGTGCCACCGACGCACGAGCATCACCATCGCCTCAACTGATGTAACTTCACAGCCTCGTCTATTGATTTCCTCTCCTTACCTGACACTCCGCCGATGTCTAACCTCAATATTGCTCACCCTATTATACCACTTCAAACGGGAGATAGAATGCAGGCACCAATGGGAAGTGATTTGGCCTAGAGTCAAGCCGGACCACATGCATGGTCGACGAGCATTGTACTACTGAAGCATGTTGGAACGAATAGGCCTCCTCAATCAATGTTGATTCAGGTCAGCATCACTTTCATGCTGCTCAAGTGAATCCATTTTAGACCTTGTGGTACCACACACTGCAATTCTCACACTGTATACCTTCTACTACAACGGATAAATAGCAAAATAATTGAGCAAAGAATATCCTTTTCAATAATTTCCTCCTCTTCTGGCTCTGCAATTATATATGCATGTTTATATACATAGAATATTCTAGAATAGTAGTCAATAACAATATTGGTATGATTTTTAAATAATATCGAATTGTTAAGTAAGATCACGATGGAATTACAGTTCATTAAAGATGCTTAAATTATAATAATAAGTATAAAAATGTAATAGCATAAAATTAAGAAAATCTCTACAACAAATTAAGGCCCATGGAAACCTTGACTGTCAAGGTAAGAACAGTGTCAGAACCAACTAACTTCTTTTGGATACATAATTTAGGTTTCTGAATGTAGATTTCAACAGCCAGCCTCAGCAATATGTATGTAGTAGACGAACTCTTAAGGTAAAGTTAAGATTAGTTGGAATGCGCGGTAGATGACTTTGAAAGCCACCTCGTTAACATCAATCTTGTGTTCTGTATTCACAAGATGAAATAGAATAGCATTATGCATGGATTTTGTTTGTGCTTCACTTAACCGCGCACGATGATGTTTGGAAATCCGACGAGAAATACGCCTAATTGTACGGCCTATGTAACTGGCTCCACCGGAGTAGTTAGCATAGGAAGTTAGTCTATAAGGGTACCTCTTTTGAGCTATAGTATTGGTGGAGATAATTACAGAATCCAAGATCAGTCAGTTTTTAGAGGTTAGCGACGAATTACTAAATAATTAGTCGTTTGTAAGTTAATGACTGAGAAGAACTAGATGAATGAGTCATATAAGGTCACCAAAATACGAAGAGGTCAGTTGAGTTAGTCAAGACAGTAATCGTAATAAAACAACAATCCCAGTGGGTGCGTACTGCCGATGATTCCCAAACTAGGATGAAACAGAAGCTGTCCAGTACTCCCTAGTTTTCAATGGTTCTCTAACTGATATCAGTCCGTGATTAACTCGTGAAAACATAAAAAACCCTTACAAACCAAATTGTAAGCGCAATATCGCTTGAAATTAAGTCACGCGTAGATATAGGCTATCCCGGTCCAGAACAAACAAGAAGCCGGTCACTGTTTCTACGGTACTATTAATAAACAAATCAATTAATATAAATACAACAAACCTTAACGGTTTCAAGAGTACAATACACAATGCTTAACAGAAAGCAAAGAACCGCTATCAGAGCGGAATAACGTTAAAGCCAAAATTACGAACTAGCCGGATCAGACACGACCGTTCAGGTAAGCAGTCAGTAGAAGAATGAACCCAAGTAAGAGATAAACAAAGCATAGGCACAAAGATAGAATTTAATTGGCTACTTAACCAATCAATAAATAAGATAAACTCAACATAATAGTACAAATAAGACATGGGTCAGCAAAATAACAGTTCACAAAATACTCTGATTGGGTCATGAGTTCAACTGTCTGACTAAAAGGATAGAAGTAAAAACACACATACACAGTTAATTAAACAAGGTGGGATAGACACGTTGGGCATGGATAATTGTGTTGCAACAATGCTAGGCTGATCCGGGACAGGTTGACTTGATTCAAGGATAGGAACTGAATTGATCTTACACCGGCCCCCAAAATCCGACTAGGATTTTCTGAATCATGTTACACCGAATAACCCTCGTGCCCGGCTCTCTCACTGTTTCCGGATATACGCAACCAAAGTTCTCTACTGCCTTTCTCAACGCGTAGTTCGCGCCGAAGGGTGATGAATTTGCCTCAAACGGATGCGCTGTCATCTGAAACTCCTGCGGCTCTTCGTCTAGAAAACCATTTTTCCACCACAGAAATAGTAATGCTCGTCGATCGTCCAGTGGCACTTTCACTTGCATAAATATATCAGCTATGTCCGCGACTACAGCAATAGGCTTTTCTCGAAAGCGCAACAGAACACCAACAAGCTCGGTAATCGTATCAGGTCCTTCATATAGCTTATCGTTCAAAGAATAGCCTCCAAAGGTTGCGGTGCAATCTAGAACTATTCCCAGTTTATCTGGCTTTTTCGGTTTCTTTACGGGATGATGTGGAAGATACCACCTCGGTCGATAGTTGGCTGCTAGCTGCTCTAGGGGTACCGGAAGGGCATAACCATTTTTTAACATCGTATTTATCCCATCCACATATCGTGCTAAAAGGTTCTTGTCACGCGATAACCTCCATTTCAGACTGAATAACCGATTTATGGCGACTACATAATTATTTTCCGTTACCTTTGCTGGATCTTTCCATGGCAGGGGAATGATGTACTGCTCCTTTTCTAAGACGGTGCTTTGAGTAACCAGCTCGATTGCCTTACGATCTTCGATAGAAAATGAGTGTTCGTTTTCTTCAGTATCCCTAAACTCAGCTTCATATAGCCTTTTGATGTCATCTTTGATACTCTCTTCGCTGATTCGAGCGTAGTTGACAGTGCCTCTTTTCTTATTTCCATGAATTGGCCCTAGCAAGACCCAACCGAGCAATGTCTTGATTGCGTAGGGTTGTTTGCGACTACCCAAACGCTGATCGAGGACCCAATGCGCTTCGGGAACATCGCAACCTATGAGCATTGTGACCCTTTTATCATCAAGTTCGCGGAATGGTAATTCCCGGAGATGTGGCCAGCGACGGGCCTCTTGTGATATCGATAGTGAGGGTGCACTGACTGGCAAGGATGGCAACGCGAACACTCTGTCAAGTTTTATCATTGCATTTTCATCCATTGATGCGACTTCCAGTTCGCACATGTTGCCCTGAACCTGACTCGCACCATTGATTGTTGTTAAGGTCATAGACGATGGCGTGCCCTCTAGGCCTAAGCTGCTTAATAGATCCTTCGTAACCAAGGAAACGTCGGAGCCGTTATCCAGAAAGGCATAAGTTTCTATTTCCTTACCGTGGGCCCGCACCTTGACGGGGATCACACCTAGCATAACTGCCGTTCCATAATGCATAGTAGCAGCGCATGTCGCCTGTTCTGCCACTTGATTTACGATCGGTTCAACATGTAGCAGTGGGTGATGTTTACCACTGCAATGGGCTTTGGAACACTTTATACCCGATACGCAGTGATCGATACGATGTCCGACCTCTAAGCACAAAAAGCATGCTCTATGGCGGTGGACGCAGCTCCATCTGTCTCGCACATCCAATCCAACGAACTTCTGACATGAAGCAGTAGCATGGTCTGACCTACAGAGGATACACAGTAGCTTGGGTGCAGGGGTCCTTTCTACCTGTATTGCGAATGATGTGCCCCCATGATGAACCTGTCTATTTAGTGAAACTTGGGCGTTCGGGCGGTTAAGGCCCTCTGAAACGAGGTGTCCGTATCGGCTTCGTGCCACTCTTGCCTCTGTAGAAACGAACTGGCAAAGATCCCGAAAAGATGGCTCTTGCCCTTCTTGATTCCTTGCGTCTGCTAGTCTGGCCCAATTCCTTCGAACTGCTATCGGCAGTATGCGTACTATTCTCTCGAGAGTTGTTACGGAATTTAAGTCCGACAAATAGTTCATTTCAGTTAGGGCAATCAGGCAATTCTGAAGCTGTATTGATAGACGGGTTAGAGCTTCTCCATCTTCTGCCACAGGTCGTAGGCTTCTAATCATGTCTTCAATACGGTTTCGTGCGATGACGTGGATCTCTCCAAACAG